CTCCTGTACAAAACCCCAGCTCCCTCCACCCACCTGTACAAAACTCCAACCTCCCTGTACAAAACTCCAGCCTCCCTGTACAAACCCCCAACCTCCCTGTACAAAACTCCAGCCCCTCCACCCACCTGTACAAAACTTCAGCCTCTCTGTACAAAACTCCAGCCTCCCTGTACAAAACCCCAGCCCCTCCATCCCCCTTTACAAAACTCCAGGCTCCCTGTACAAAACCCCAGCCCCTCCACCCACCTGTACAAAACTTCCACCTCCCTGTACAAACCCCAGCCCATCCATCCCCCTTTACAAAACCCTGGCCCCCCTGTACAAAACCCCAACCTTCCTGTAAAAAACCCCAGCCCCTCCAGCCTCCCTGTACAAAACTCCAGCCTCCCTGTACAAAACTTCAGCTCTCCTATATCCTCTTTACAAAACTCCCAGCCCCCATGTACAAACCCCAACCTCCTGGACAAAACTCCCCAGCCTCTCCACCTACTCAGGTTAAACTCCAGCCTCCTGTACAAAACCTCTGTGTCCCTCCACAAGTGAAACAAAGCAGGCAGGAATTTAGCTTACTTTACTACTAAAAACAATCCAATGCAAAAATCCCTATCTGCTCACATCCTGCTCTAAAAATCTACAAATCTACAAGATATACGATAAGTATGGCAGTACTATTACTACTATTATACAACTCAAAAGAAGACCTCTACATTACATCACAACCTACATCCTAGGATATTCAAAATTTACTTTCTGGACAGTTCTGCTGCTAAATACTGTGACGACTACCTCGCTACATTGCATTGGAGAAGCCTGGTTGCTCGCCTGCTGCCTTTGGACTATGGCCCCCTTTTAAAAGACTTTATTTTGCCTGCAGAAAAGCTGTATTCGTGCTTTTCTGCCGGTTGTTCGGTAGTTTCAATCTACCGAACAACCATACGAATGACTGGACCACCTGGGAGCTGGAGTGTGCCGGCAATTAACCTCCCTGAAGCTGCGGTTAACCGCAGCTTAATTGATGAACGCTGGGTGGCCGCCGTTCGTATCCCGAACACGAGGTCGCTGCCATTTTAAACCATACGAATGAACAGCGGTGTTCGCCTCTATTTTCATGGAACTAAAATCGGACACAGTTTTGCGCGAACACCGCTGAAGCCGCCGACCTCCCTACTTGTTCGGTGAAAGTGCACGAATGGCCCGGTGTTCGGTATTTTTGTTCAAATATGTTATACCCCAGATAGGAATCCGTATGAAACTGACTGTAAAGACTTTGGCTCCATGGCGATTAAACTGTATTCGTGTGGTCTGAGTGCCATTCACCTAATAATGTGCACTCAGACCTGAGCTATCTGGGGATATGTTACATGTCTGTGTTTTGTGGAATAAATGTTACTTTGTGTATTTTAAAGTATAATGCTGGTTTTGTGTCCCCACGTGTGTAATGGAGTTTTGCCTTTGTCTTGGGAGATAATTGAGTTACTTTCCAATTATCTCCCAGGGCAGAGGGGAGGAAGCCAGGATGCATTGTGGGAAATACTGTGACTGTGTGTCCTATTTGTCTAATTGTCTGTCCCCTGTCACAGTCTCCCATTTGGTCCCCTAGGGGAGTGTCCACCAGGTGGGAGACCTGCATAAATACTGGGCAGGTAGCCCTCATTAAACAGACCACTGCTTGACCCTCAACACGGAGCCTTGTCTCATCTTTGGGGGGATTTACTGACTGCTGATAGAGACTGATTGCTAGGAGTGTAAGCCGCTTGGATGCTTTTTCTATTCGTCTGGTAGCAGCAATTCGTATGGTTCCTGTTCGTGTATTTGGAGTGCTACCTTATTCTCTTGTATGCCGTTCGGGAGTTTGGAGCATTCACTTGTATGCAGTTCGAGAGTTTGGAGCATTCACTTGTATGCAGTTCGAGTGTTTGGACCATTCCCTTGTATGCAGTTCGAGTGTTTGGAGCATTCCCTTGTATGCTGTTCGGGAGTTTGGAGCATTCACTTGTATTCAGTTCGTGAGTTTTGGTAATTCTACAGTAGCTGTGCCTGTCTCTGAAAGGGGGATTATCGTCTAAGCGGTTTTTATCCCTTTTTGTGCAAAACGGTCCGTTACAATTGGTGGCAAGCGGCTGGATCGTTCCTACAGCCAGAAGGACAGCTACAGGAGACACCATTTCTTTGGATTTTACAATTTGAGGGCAACGCATGTCCCAGTACAGCGACCCTGACAGCACCGAGATGGAACCAGCAGTGGAGTATGACGAGGGTGCCATGGATGACCGAGATGCAGTCCGTAAAGGCATCTGGTACCAGGCACTGGGTATTGTGGAGTACCAGCGGGGCAAGAGACTCCCCAAGGAAGACCAGCGGTTGCAGAAGCGAGTAGCCCGGCGGATGCCCTTCCTGGGAGAGCAGCCCCTGGAGGAATGGGTGAGGAAATTGGAACACCTAGTATGGCAGGAGTTGTGGCTAGAAGATGCCTACCAGGCGCTCTGGTGGTATGGGGCACAGTACCTACCCTGGACAGCCGAGCATGACAAGCCAGAGGGAGAGGAGTTTGATGGTCCTGGCTTGTTATGGGAGTCGCTTTCAGAGCTCGAATTTGGGAGCCCTACACAAGCCCGGTTCAGTGATCTCTGGGAGTGGAGGGAGAGCAGGTATGACTGGGACGACGCTCACAAAATTGAGCAAGACCTGGTCCACCTGGTGACCCGGGAGATGGAGCTAGAACAGGGCTACCAGCAGCTGTTCCAATACAGTGAGAAGGCTCAGCGGGAGAGCAGCATGACAGACCCAGAGCCAGACCCATTCAGAGGGGACGAGATGGTACAGTTTTACTGGGAAGAACCCCAGGTGGCCGGTAGAGATGGGACCGAGGTCTCTCCACCGGTCCTGCAGGGAATTGGGAGCCCGGTCTCCATTCCCCAGCGGCAGTGTAAAGTGCAGAGAGAGGAGAGCAGTATCCTCCCTCCCCAGCGGCAGGCTGAGTTACAGGGGGCAGAGGTAGTTGTTCCTGCCCTCCAGCAGCAGAGTGATATGCCGGGAAGGCAGTGTGAAGTGCAGGGAGAGGAGAGCAGTGTCCTCCCTCCCCAGCGGCAGGCTGAGTTACAGGGGGCAGAGGTAGTTGTTCCTGCCCCCAGCAGCCAAGTGATATGCCGGGAAGGCAGTGTGAAGTCCAGGGAGAGGAGAGCAGTGTCCTCCCTCCCCAGCGGCAGCGTGATTTTTTGGGAATTGGGAGCCCAGTCTCCATTCCCCAGCGGCAGCACAGATTATTGGGAATTGGGAGCCCCGTCTCCATTCCCCAGCGGCAGAGTGTCCTACCGGGAATAGAGAGCCCAGTCTCCTTCCCCCAGCAGCAGGACTCTGTATTGGGAGCAGAGACAGTCGGTCTCCCTCCCCCGCAGCTGGAAGTATGTATGGGAGAGGAGCTTGTTACCCCCTCTCCCCAGCGGCAGCTTAATGTACCAGGGGGAGACAGTATTTTATTTTATTTAGTTTGTAAAATGCTTCCAAAATTAAACAGAATAACAAATTAAATAACAAAATAACAATAATAAACAATCAACTGAAATAATGCCCAATTCAAACATAATACCAAATGAAACATAAATACCGAAATAAAAACTCAGGAAGGGGCACTAATAGGGGAGTAAACTTATACCAAATTAAATAACTGGGAATAACAGGGAGAGGGATTAACAGAAAAGGGGGGGAACTAAATCATAAGGGGATAAATTAAAAGGCGGGGGGCTCCATTACTTCATGGAGCCTTGGGGAGGGAGAAAAAAGGCTGAAATGCTCCTGAAGGAGCTCTTACATAACAAGGGGGGGACAAGGGGGGACCCAATTGACCTCGAGTCCACAGCCAGCTAAACACAAACATAAACCAAGCGTGAAATAAAATACACACATAAACATAAACAAACCCATTAACCACATGGAGTCCTTTTCTCAGTTCATAAAACCCACCAACCACATGGAGTCCATCCCTCCGTCCATCAACACCAACCCACCACCTACACTTTAAACCCAAACTTTAAACCCAAACCCACCACCCAAATGGAGTCCATTTTCAATTCATAAAACCCACCACCCTCATGGAGTCTATCCCTCCGTCCATCCCCCAAACCCACCACCCAAATGGAGTCCTTTTCTCAGTTCATCACATCCAAACCCACCACCCACATGAAATCAAAATTTTGTCCATAGACCCACCACCCACATGAAATCCAGTTTGTACACCACCCTCAAGGAGTCCATCCCTCCGTCCATAAAGAAACCCAGTGGTTTTTGTTTTTTTTTTTTTCCCCACCCAAAGTAAATTTTTCAATTTGTCCATACACCAGAAACCCACCCTAACCCAAACAATACCAAAAATAACCTGTGCATAACCAACCATAACCTAACTACACTGCACTACCTAGACGCAGAGGAAGGTACTCGTCTGCTAAAGGTGGCAGCCTTCCATGAAAAGAAAAACCAGTTCAAAATCTACGGGGGAAAGGTGAAGACAGATTTGGAATTCCCTTCACCAAGACAAGGGCGCCCATGGAGCGGTTCAAGGCGGGTGGACCTTGAGATTTCGCCACAAACGCTGCCAAATGGTGGGATCCATAGAGGCCCTTTCGGTGGTATAGATCCCACGAACCGCCCTCAGAATGTCTGCTACCACCACCTGACAGGAAAGGTCTTTACGTTGAAGGGAAACCTGACACCTTGCCATCCAAGTGAAATACTTAACCACTGAACTGACTACATAAAGAGTGCCCAAATCAAAAGCCCTCCCCCTTGAGTTGGACGTCCCGTACGCCCACTCCGCATAAGTCCAGCGGGATAAGCAGGGGATGCCTAAGGCGGCTGAGACCTCTTTGTAGACCTGTACGTTAAAGGGGCACTCGAGGAGGAAGTGGTCCATGGACTCCACTTCCCCGGAACATTCCACCCGAGGACAACCGCGATCCGTTATGTTCCTGTACTTCAAGTTCCCTCGAACGTAAAGTCTACCGTGGAAGGAGAGAAACGCCACGTCTCGGTATTTCTCCGGAAGGCGCCTGGAGTTGATGTTTTTCAACCCCGAGGCGAGAGTACTTGGCGGGCAGTCCTTCAAAGCAAGCTGAATGCCAAAGTGGGTGGCCAGGACCCTCCCGTCGAGAAGCTTCTTGGGAGTGTCCCGAACCTCCTCCACCGTGACGTTCCACCTGCGCAGAATTCCCACTCCCTCGATGACCGAAGACGGAAGATAGCTAGAATGCCGAACTCTCATGCTCTTCACCCTCCCACCCTGAAACCAGTCCACCAGGAAAGGTGTGACCCACTCCCTGAATATACATACCCAGCCAGGCTGCTCATCCTTCAGGAGAGCCCCAAAGTTCCTTTTCAGGAAGTTGTTAGTTAAAAAGACGATGGGGTTGACCATGGCCAGACCCCGTCCTTTCTGGCCAGGTAAGTGACCTCTCTTTTGATGAGGTTCAGCCTGTTCCCCCACAACATGCGGAAGAACAGCGCAAACATCCGAGCGTGGAGGGACCTGGGCAAAAGGAAGATGTTACTGACGTAGCCGAATACGGTCAGAACATAGGTTTTGATTAGGTTCACCCGTTCTCTGAACATCAGTTTCCACCTGTGGCTCTCCTCCACCTTGCTAGAAGCTATGGCAAGCCGTTCGGTCCAGTTCCTGAGAGCCAGATCCCCTGGTCCGAACACCACCCCCAAGATCTTAATTTCAGGCTGGGCCCTCGGGAAACCGTCTGGAAGAGGGAACTGGTCCCCTTCCTTCCCGCACCAGAAAACTACGCTCTTGTCCCTGTTGACACGAGAGGCTGAAGCGGCAGAATACGCTAGGATTAAATCATCCACCTCCGTGGCCTCCCGAGTATTGGAGACCACTATGGAGATGTCATCAGCGTAGGCAACAACCCGTAAAGGCCTCTCCGGAGCCCTGGCCACTCCCTGTAACGTGCCTGCCTCGACCCTTCGGATGAAGGGATCGACTGCAAACACGTACAAGAGTGGGCTGAGAGGACAGCCTTGCCTGACCCCGGATCGGATCCTAAACGTCCTGCCCCTCCACCCGTTCACAAGAGCGAAGCTTTCGGCCCCTCTGTACAAGGTGATTATCCAATTGACGAATTTTCCCGGCAAGCCATACTTCCGCAAGACTGACCACAGATAACGGTGATCTACTCGATCAAAAGCTTTGGACTGATCAAGTGCCAGAAGGTATATCCCCCTTTCTCCGTCCCTGCACTTCTCGAGGGCTTCCCTGACTTCGAAAACGGCATCAAAGACAGTTCTGCCCTCGATTGAACAGTACTGGGAGGTGGATAGGACACGCCTCGCTAGGCCCTGTACTCGTTTCATCAAAATCTTTGCCAGGACCTTCCTGTCGACATTTAACAGGGATATGGGGCGCCAGTTCCCCACATCCGCTGTGTCGAGCACGTTCGGCTTGGACAGCAAGATCAGGGCAGAAGTCCTCATCGAGGGTGGCAATAATCCTTGAGCCAAGCTCTCATTAAACACCTCGGTCAGATGAGGGGCCAAGAGGTCGCAGAACTGTTGGTAAAACTCGGCCGTCAGACCATCAGGACCTGGCGACTTACACTTGTTCTGCTGTTGGATACTCTCTGTGACCTCTTCTATGGTGATCTCGCTGACCAACTCGTCAAAAGAGAGGTCGCTATGCTCAGGGAGCGTGAGCTCGCTCAAGAAGTCATCCACCCTTCTCCCGTGGGAGATTCCCTCCTCGCTACATTGGGGGCTGCCCTTTCCGAGCAGCTCAATATAGTAGTCGCGGACCACCTTCAGAATCCCGCGAGGAGACTCCTCTAGGGTCCCGTCGGTGCCCCGCAGACTAGGGATGGACTTGGTACCTTCCTTCCGCTTGCAGCTAAGATAAGGATCGGGCGAGCGGTATGACCCATGATCCCTCTCTTTTACAAGGGAGGCGTACCTGTCATACTGATAACTCCTCATCAGGTTTTTAACTGCCGCAATGTCCTCGGGGTCACCTCCCTGCGAGATCAGGATGTCTAACCTCCTAAGCAAGCCCAGATACATCTTGTACCTGGAGGACTGCATGTTCCGGGCGAGATTGCGAAACAGCCGTTGAGTTCTGGCCTTCACCATCTCCCACCACTCAGACTTCGTTTGGCCTAAGTCGGCCAATGTCATCTGATCGTGAAAGAATTCCATGAAGGCTTGCTGAACCCTCTGTTCCACCAGGAGGTCTGAATTTAGCCGCCAGATCCCTCTACCCTTAGGTGGGGTACTATAGACGTTCAACTCGCAAGACAAAATGTGATGGTCGGAGAACTCCACCGGTGTAAGCACGGGTGCCGCCACCGGGAAATTCTCCTTAAAGAAAAACCTATCTATCCTACTCTGACAGCTACCTCTGTGATAAGTGTACCCACCCGTGGGATTGGGAGTGTGATGAAGGTACACATCGACCAATCCAGCCTGACTAACCATCTTATTTAAAAAATAGGAGTCATACCCCAGCCTCTGAGTGGCGTCTCTCCTGTCTTGAGGCCTAGTTATGGTGTTAAAGTCACCGCCAAACAGGATTTGCTGGGATGTATAAAGGTAAGGCTCTATCTCAATAAACAGGCGCTTCCTCTCCCACTTAGATTGGGGGCCATAGATATTAATTATCCTGAAAGGTTGCCTGCCCATTGAGACATCTAAAACCACACACCGTCCTTTTTGCAACTCAATAACCCTGTTGATGCTAACATCAACGTCCTTAAATAGGATGGCAATTCCCCCATATCTCTCTGTGGCTAGAGAGAAGTAGGAGGGCCCCCATCTCCAGTCCCGCTTTGCAGCGTGCAGGGCCGCGAGGGTTTCCAGCCGGGTCTCCTTTACCAAGATGACATTGTACGGAGCCCGGCTGAGGTGGTCGTAAACCAAAAAGCGTAGCCACAGAGAGTACAGGAAAAGTCGCCATAAGGGCATTAAGTATAAGGAGACTTTCCCTTCCTTCTGCGGTACCCCTCCTCCTCCGTGTCGGAACCGAGGAACCTCTTCACTGAGACTCCGGGATACAGTGGCCCGTCGTCTCTCAGAAGCACCTCCTGTCCCACCTCAACCCCTGCCACCCCCTCGGGGAGGTTCGCCATCTCCTCCTCGTACTCACAGTCGGCCCAGCTGGAGGACAGTGCCTCGTACCTGTTAGATACGGGCACCGGGGCCTCCTGCAAGCCCGAAGAGGAGGATGACGCCCGTGCCACACCACCCTTATAAGTGGCGTCTCCCCCTTTCGGGGGTTTCGCCGCAGGGGGTATGGCGATCTTCCGGGGTGAGGGCAGCGTCGAGGTCTTGGAGGGGGGGGGTTTCTTACCTTTCACCGTGCTCCACTCTAGGGACTGTGCATCTAAGGGACGTGCATCTGGGGACTTTTCAGTGGGGGTAACCTTCACCGTGGAGAATTTAGGAGGGGGGGGCCTAGGGGGAGGGGGTCTAGGGGGAGCCATAATGGCTGTGGAGGTAGTGCGTCTCTACGTACACTTTTCGTGAGGGGACGTGAACTTGTGGCCTTCCCAGGGTCCTGAGATGTTACAGAGACCGAGGGGAGGATGGGTTGTTGCTGGGGCAGGGAAACCCTTGTGCCAGAGATGGGCCTTGTAGATGACGATGCTACCTGAACCCCTAACCCAGCAGAGTCCATCTCCACCGGCTCCTGACTCCAGATGGACTCTACATTGTGCTGGGCTTCGGGGCAGGTGCGGTACGTGTGACCCATCTCTGAACACAGATGACACCGGATCTCCCTGCAGCTGTCCCGGAGGTGCCCCACAGCGCCGCACATAGTGTATTTGAGGACCGTACAGGCATTGCTGTAATGCCTGTACGATCCGCACTTGTGACATACCCTGGGCTGACCAGGGTAAAAACAGGATACCCGGTCAGCCCCGATGAAAAAACTATTAGGCATATGCTGTGTGACACCTCGAATCTCCCGCAGCAACACTGAAACAGTCCATCCGCCTGTCCAAATCCCATCCTCATCTAAGATCTTAACAGGGGGGGGATTTAACATCCCCAAACCTCTTAGTCCAAACAAGGATGTCTGCTATGGGGATGGATTCATTTCTCACCAGGAAAGTGACCTTCTTAAGACCCTGGCGAGAAATGGCCACAGCGGTGAATCCTGCCCACTTTGTACCCTGTGCAGACCTGGCCGCTTCCCACCCAGCCCAGAAGCGATCCAGGAGCTGCAACGTCATAAAGGAGACGTCGAACTCCCGGGTGCCCGAGGCATGGATGAGCGAGTACAGGTCCACGGGCGCAAATCCCATATCCTTTAGCCGGGTCACCAGCCACCGTCTGTCAGGCACCTGGGTCTCACCCCCACAGATGAGCCGTACCACGTTCCTCCTGTTCCCAAAGGAAACCTGAGGACGCGTAGCAGGCCCGTCTGCAGAGAGGCGAGGTGGCCCAGATGCCCAAGCATTGGGCGCACCGGGACCCGCCGCCTGGGAATGATTCGGACGGACTCCCCTCGCTGAACCAGAGGCCTCGGTCACACCAGAACCCTGGGTGACACCTGGGAGTGCCTAAGGGGAACCCGTGTACCTGCTTGTGCGTCTAAACTATTTATAACCGCGGCACCCTTTGTCAGGGTGCCTGTGCCCGTGCTCGTGCCCGCCACCTGTGTACCAACTAACTCCAGTGAGCCAGGGGCAGGGGCAACATAACCTGAGGCGGGGGCAACATAACCAGGGGCAGGGGAAACAGTACCAGGGGCAGGGGCAA